TTGGCACTTACAATTGCTCACATTTTAAGAGAAAAGAAAAGTTCATATGATGACTACTTTTGTTTCTTCTGTGCACTAAGGTCCACAAATGACAAATTGGAGACTCAAAAGACTTCTTTTTAACTCTTAAAAATACCTCAATTTACTTTTGGAAAACATTAATCCGAATAGCATCCTAGCAATTCACAATAGCAACCTTTGATCCAGTTGTGTTCTATCCATAAACAACTGAATGTGCTAGAATTTTATATGGATGAATGATAAATTGTGTATAAGTGAACAGAAATGAAAGCATCCTAGATCTAGATATATTTTCTTAGAAAAGTGTCTCATCAAAGAGGAAGAAATTTGCCTCTTATTAAGTATATTTGAGCGTGTAGCAATCTAATATGCAATCTAATATGATGAATGTTCAGTAAGTATAAAACCCAATGCTCTTCTAACAAATCTTTGATTATGGCAGTTCCATTCTGCACACCATGTGTCTTTTAGGAATGGTAAAAATGTCTAGACAATAAATGTAGTTGGTAAATGGAATTTATTAAATCAGTGTAATCTCCTGGGTGGGATGAAACTTGCTAGCAATGTCTATCATAAAGAAAAAAACATCTTGGATGTGATTACTTGCTTGCATGTGTAGGAAGTTTATAGATATTATAGAGATCATAATGTAAGACTGTTGGGCTTTCCATTCTATACTGAGATGATCTTAAAAACAGTGTCATGCTTCATTGGCTAAGAATACACATCACACTAAATATTAAATCATACCATAGACTTTTTGGTCTTGGTTTAGTATATAGTGTGAATCATGCCTATTCAACAAAATAATACTTAAGAAATTCAATAATTAAGGAATAAAATATATACCCACAACTTGAGATCAGCAGTGTCATGAAATTTTCACAAAATTGCTTATATGAGCCTGGAAAAGAAATGGGAAACAGAAAAAAAGTACCACCATAGTAGTTGCTAAATATCTCTCTCCAGTTGTTTGTATCTAGGGAAGTTGGCTTGATAAACGGAGGTGTCAAGACAGCGGTGAAGCTGCTTTCTACAAGTAAGTTATATATCTGTGTGCTGGAAAGGCTTGGCTTATGTCTTTGGAAAGACTGGATGTATGGGGCATATATGTGATGGGCTAGTGTTTTACAGTTGAGGAAGGTTTCATATATATACATCCAGTGTTTCCCTGAAAATAAGCCCTCCCTGGATAATAAGTCCTCCCCTGAAAATAAACCCTCCCTGAAAATATTTAACTGCATGTGCAGCTGGTCCCTGCCATTTCCTTTGGTTAGGGTTAGGTAAGACTGCAAGAGGAGCCCCGTCTTGCTCCATGTGCCCCAAAATAATAAGACCTCGAAAATAAGGCCAAGCGCTTATTTTGGAGTTCAAAAAAATGTAAGACAGGTTATTTTCGGGAAAACATGATACACACACACACACACACACACACACACACACACACATATTTTCAGAGGGTCATGTGTGAGGAGAGAAAAACAGATATTTCTCATCAGATCTTAGGTCAGAGCTACAAATTCTTCTAACAGCCCTTCCTCTCTATATATTAAGGGGAAAAAAAGTTAACTGGATGTGAACATGTTTTAGTTTTTCTCCACACTGGTTTATGGGTTGATGCAACGTAAAGATGTGAATTAAATTAAATCCTATTGATTTTTATCAGCAAAATGTTAGTAAATTGTCATCTTCTTAGAGAACAGAAGATATATGCTCACAAAATCAACTGCACAGCCATATATTTTACAGGTTCATCTGGAGGTGTCTGTAATGGAGAATAAAAAAGTCAAAATGGCACCTATGACTGAATGTTTGGAACCCTACATGGTCCCAGCAGCCATCTTGATTATTTCGACCTTCCCTGTGAAACTGCTACATGCAGCTTTACCCACCGGGAGCAATCAATGATAAAGTGAGTCCATAAATATCAAATTGCTCTGCCTGCCACAGCTCTGTGAAAGGCACAGTGTCCCCATTTGTTTCCTCAGAGAAAACAAGTCACAAGCCTGACGGCTGGGCCTATCCATTTTTTAAAAATAATGGAAATTTACTGTGAAAGTATTTCTGGAAAAATATGGGGTTTTTAAAAAAATAAACCTTCCAAATATATAAATTTTATATTTGAATTAAAGTCATCCAGAATTGAACTGGACCCCTTATGATCATATGCAAACAAGATTACAAATTTCTTGGCAACAATATGTGAAATGTTTTCATATCCCTTGTAATTTTGGGATATTTTTTGACTACCCAGTCTAGGTATGATTAATGGTACTTGCAGGCATATTGGGGATAAGAGGAAATACACATATACAATCAAATACAGACATACATAACTTCATAGTCCTGTTCCAAGAAAATAAAATTAGATAAAACAACCAATGTCACAAAACTGTTCTGCTATTTCTTGATGGCTGAGTGGCAGTCAGGAATCTTGAGTATTATATCCAGCAACATCTGGAAGGTTACGGGGTCCACTAACATTAGACTGGACTGCCTCTAAATTTGCAGTTATTTTGTGCATAAAAATAAATTTGCAGTTATTTTGTGCATAAAAGAGAGAGACTAGGTGTGCAAGAGAAGGCAGAAGCAACGTATTTCCTGACTTGTATATGTATAACAGAGTTACGAATAGTTTTGATGGTTTCCTGTATTCCTTGTATTTTTTTTAGCTGTTCCACATTCAAATTTATCAGAATTGATGTTTTATGGTATGTGATGTCATGCGATAGTCCTCTAGTGACTGTTTATACTTTTGATGGTGGTGGTACCGACACTGGAATTCTCTCCCCAGTAAGTATAATTGATTATTTTTGTGTGTGATTTAACAAATAATTTAAAGAGCATTTTAATTCTCTACCTTTCCCTCCATAGTAGCCAAGCTTGATTTGCTGCTAGATTGCTCATGCCTTGTATTTTTTTTTAAATATATTTTTGTTTTTGGTTTATTATGTTGCATTGCTTGTTCATTATTTTAAATAGCATTTTATTTTGGGTTTTTAAAAAATTCCTGGCTGTGATAATTATTTATTGAGTGTACTGTTAACTGCTGGGGGCTGGCCTGGAGGTTGGGAATGCACAGTATATAAAATGAACAGAAGAAAGCGTATTTGAGAAGCCAGTTGGCAGATTTCAATGCTTTTGGTTCTACCACAATTTGATTGTACCACATTCTGAAATTATGTTAATAATCCCTTATTTCTGTGGAATCCAGGGAATGACAGTTTTGAGATAGAGTTCCAGCAGATCATTTTCTGCTCCCTTAAGATACATTAGCCAGAACATTTTTTTGATAAGTGGAACTGTGATAAAATACCAGCATGATCTAGGTAGCTAATTTTCTAATAGCTGTTCTCTGAGACTATGTCAGAACAAGTTAAGAATGATATAGATTAGAATTGCTACATTGTTTTCCTCCTAACACCTGGATGCTTTGTAACACCCAAACCCATGTTTTGTAACAACACATTTTAAAAGTGCAGCTTCCCAATGCCTATATTTCATGCCAAAGTGTTTTAATGTACTTGTTGTATAACTATTGTGCCTGCTGTAAAACTATTACTGATAGACATCTGCTGGGAAAATGTAAATGAAGTAAAAAGTAAGTCGCTTTTGACAGCAGCTGGAATGTTTGAGCTTTGATGTACCTTCCCAATTGTTCCTGATTATGTGATGGATGTCTCTTAGCAGCTGTTTTGCAATTGATATAGGCATGTGTCTGAATTACATGTAGTTTTTGGTCTTGTTGCATAGAAGGTACTCTTTCATTCTATCGATGCGTTATGTGGCCTTGGGGGATGTTTCCCACTTAGCCATCTCTATGCTCATCTTTGGAAGATTCCTATTCACTGCCTATGGCCTACAGTCATTAAGGATGCTTCCTGCAGGGATGTGTGTTCAACTGGTGAGAGTTGTTGTAAAGAATGTTGGTACCTAGCAGTTGGAGAAGCCTATATAAAAAAGATTTCTCATCACCTGTTGCTTATGTGTAAGATTATTTTCAGAAGATGTCAAAGCCTATCGTAGTCACATCCCCACATTTACCTTTGTTTAGATCAGAGGGAGTTAAACAGCTTTTATAGGTATGTATCTGTAGGGCTGCAGGCAAGATACAGCTATTTCTTTGGCAGCTATTTTCTTTCTCTAATGGATGGAAGGTTTCACAGCTGTGATCGAGGATGTCAGTACAGTAACTGGCTTGCACAGGCATGTGCTTCGGCTATACAGGAGGGAGATGCTCAGCAGCTGTCCTGCAAACTGCTACTAAGTGACTGTGTGGGGCATGCAATGCACAAAGCCTTTGGGTGTGTGCGTGTGCGTGTGTGTGTGTAACCGATCCTGAGCAGTGTTGTGCTCACAGAAAAAATGGTTTCCTGGCAGCTCCTGCTGCTGGACTGCGTAGGCATAAGGTTACATAAAGTCACGGGGTTAATTTTCCAGTTGCTGCATTAACATCTGGAAAATTGCTGTCTCTTCTCCCTGCACACCTCTCTCCATGCTTCTTCCCAGCTGTTGTCAGGGACGCGGGTCGGCGCCGGCAGCTGGTCTCGGCCGCGTGCACACCCACTGGGACTTTCCAGGCAGCTGCTACCTCTGGCGCGCCTAGGTTTTGGGTGGGCAAATGGAGAAAAAGGAGAGAGGATGGGGGGGGGGGACGACAGGACGGGCGAGGAATACCTGCTCTGCAGTTGCGACTCCTGGCGCGCCCTGCTCCCCCCCCTCTTCTTCCTCTTCCTTCTCCCTCCTTCCCATCCCACGCTGCTGATCTCGGAGCTTCGGCGCTGCCATTCCTTGCAGCCGGGCACATGGATAACAATAACCAGCTGTTGCGTGTGCACGCAGGCGTGCCGCTGTTTCCCAGCCCGTTAAAGTGTGTGCGCGCGCGCGTGTGTGTGTGTGGAGGCGCGTGTGTGTGTGGAGGCGTCATTCGCGTAAAGGGAGCGTGGAGATCTCCAACTACGGGAGCACCCGAATCGGGGCCCCCCCACAACCCCACCTGGAAAGGCGGGGAGTCGACCGGCGTCGTCCCTTCGACCTGCCACCGCCTGGCCTCCGGGATCACTCTCCAGGCACGTCCCGCCCGCCCGCCTGCTCTTGATCCATTCCCAGTGACGCGGCTGCGGTAGCGACGGCGGCAAAGCCCGGCTTCTTCCGCCGGTTTATCTCCAGCACCAGCACCGCAACCTCTGCTGCCGGCTCTCTACACACAACCCCCCCCCCCCACCACCACCCCAAACCTGGCCGGGGCTTCCCCGCGGCGAAATCTCCACTGGCCCGCGGTGGAATCGTACTTTAAGGCGACCGACGGCTTGAACCCTACCCGGGTTGTGGGGGGGGGGGGCGCATAAACCGAAGACGGGCACCATTTCAGAGAAGAAGGGTGTGTGCGCGCGCGCCTCACACACACACACATACATATACACACACACAAATACACGCACGCACGCAGAGGTACGCAGGCGCGCGCACAGCGTGTTTCTCTCCCGTTTTCGAGTCCTCCCCTCAGCGAACGGCAGGAATTTGAATGAAGAGTGGTCCTCCTCCTCCTCCTCGATCTCTCGTTGGGATGCCAAGCCTGAACTTGGGGGCAGCGTCGGTTGCGGAGAAGCAGGTAGGCGGCCGGGGTCCCTCGAAGCGGGGTCTCGGCGCGAGGCTGCCAATGCAGCCGTCCCAACTCGTGTCGGCGTGCGCGTGTCGCCTTTTGTAAAAGCTTGAGGAGTGGGCGGGGGTGGGGTGGGGGGTGGAGGGAGGAAAAAAAAAAGATCGACGCTTCTCCTTCCTTCTTGCCGGTCCCCTGCCCTGATCCCACTACCCCCCCCCCCCACCCCCGGCTGCCTGGGAATGCCGGGGAGGGAGAAAATAGGCAATGTAGGCGGAAGGTCCGGGGGCGCCATCCAGGCGAGGGAAGAGGGGGGCTTGCAGGAGGGAGGAAGAGGAGGAAGAAGAGGAGGAAGGCGAGATTTGCCGGGATGCGGGCAAGCTGAGCGATTTCCTTGCTTTCTCAGGCATGGAGTTCCGGATGGATCTTCAAGCCTGCTGGGCGCAGCTCTCTTTGGCTCGCTTTCTTACCCCGGTCTCTGCAAGAGCATTAGCAGCAGGAGGGGAGGAGTAGCTTTTCATTTATTATTATTATTTTTTTTTAAAAAATTTGCAAGCACGGTTGTGGCGGCGGCAACAGGAGGAGGAGGAGGAGGAGGAGGAGGAAGCGAAGCCCATCCCCGCAGCCTCCTGCCTCCGCTTCTGTGTCATCCCAGGAAACTTTGGCAGGAGCGCTTTGCGGAGCCCGCGAAGGCTGGTTTTGGGCTTTTTTTTTTTCTTTTTTTTTTTTTTGGGCGGAGGGTCGATGCGTCTCCCGGTAACCCCGGGTTGGGGAAACCTTGGGCGGCTTGGCTGCGTGCAGAAGAATGCCCTTCTCGCCTGTCCGCTTCTATACCCAAATTAAATGTAAATGAAACGCTGACGCCTCGTTTCCAACACTGAATACACAACCGGCCTTTTCTACAGGAGCATCACGCTGGAGTCCTGCACAAGAGCATGCAAGTTTCGAGGGAATTGACCCTGCATGATGTCTGGTTGTGCTGGTGTGTGTGAGAGAGAACAGGTGGATCAGTCCATTTTGTATTTAAGCAGCAGCAGCAGCTCCTCAAAGCACAAAGCTTCTCAAGGAGAACCCAAAGAACTGGATGGAGGGAAGAAGCCACACAGGGCAGACATTAGTGGAAATAGTGTAGCAGTTGACTATTGAGTACTGCCGTGGCGGCACACACCTCTCTAGGTTGCTGTGGATATGTGTGCATCAATGTATATACATTGATTTTCATCATGGATGGCCAGGAGCAGAGCATGGAGGATTCAAGTCATCCATCTCGGGAGCTATGATTGCTGTCTGTTGTATTTATGAGCCCAGGTGTATGGTCCAGGAAATCCTATAACCCTGTAATAAATCTATAGTTAATCTTCTACCCAGTAAGTTTTCAGGATCTGTGGATTTGAGCAGGAAGAAGCAGAGAAGTGTCAGTGCAGATTAAGAGGCACACACAAATGTGTTTCATTTTATACATGGGCTTCAGATCTATCTGCAATGGGTTACATTAGCCAAAACATTTGATCCGTGCTAGAAGACAATAGCCATGGAGGCAAAGTACCCCATTTGCCCCCCAGGTATCATGATATCATCTTTCAGCACTTGGGCTAAATGGTTTTGCAAGGCACGGCCCCTCCTGGCAAGTCTAGGAAAAGTGCAGCTTGACAACGGTGCTAATATTTTTAAGCCAGCCTTATTTGCATGCAGCATGCATTTTTAAACAAGAGCTCTCCTGGTCTTTCCATGCCCCGCTCAAGTCACCTAGCAGGAAAACCAGATGATGAAACCAAAGGAGACAGAGGTTGTGATGGGGTATATGATAGTATCTGAGAAAAGGAAGGAAGAACAAGACTGCAGAAATTCTTCTGCCCTGGTTTGCTTGAAGGGCAGCAGTGACTGGAAAAGGGACCTTATGCTAATGTTATGCTAAGGATTGTGGGAAATATTTTTTTTCTTTTGGAATAATTGTTCTTCTGTGGGTCTCTCCCAGCGCCCCTCAAGTGATGCCCTCTGTATTGCTATACTGTTTCTAGAATCTCCAAGTATTGCCCCTGCTGTTTGGAAATTATGGAACTTATAGTACCAGATAACATAAAACCAGTCAGTGGCTGTTGTCAATTTCCAGTCAATGGATTGTTTCGTAATGTATAAGTGGTTTGTTTTGTGGAATGTTTGAAGTTTGGTCAACATTGTGATTTAAACACTGATAACCCCAGAAAAAGTCCTCAAACTCAAGGATTTGATGGTATGTGATGATCACCTAAGGATAAATGCAAGAATGTTTTCATATGTGTGTAAAGGGAAGATTTATTTTTATTAATAGATTTACTTTTGGGCATTCACAACCTGTTTATCAGCCTAAAGTAGAATATTGATATTTATCAACTTTTGGATAGTCTTCATTTATTCTGATATTAGCTTTGTGACATTCATCTCAGTTGTAACATTTTTAATTTCTCTCTTCTCTCAGAAATGTTTGCTTTTAAATAAGAACATTTACTTACGGCCTTTTCTAATAAAGTTGCAATCTTATGGAAAACTCTAGAATTGGATCAGCTTAGAGGCAGAGATTTATTTATTTATTAAATTTATATAGCTACCCTCCTGACTAACACGATTCTGGGCAGCTTACGAAATTAAACATCCAGAAAATCAACCCACCAAATAACTGCAAAAACCATTAAAACAATACAACTATTAAATTCATAGTCAACAGGAGAAAGCACCATTCATTTTTCTAAAAGTACAACCACTTTTGGTTTTCCACCAGGTTCATAGGATTCTCAGATGACAAAGCTATATCTTCAGATTCTTCTAGAAGGCCAACAAGGTCAGCACCAACAAAGAGATAATGGAGCCTTCCTTTTGAAAACAGGTTGATCATTACCACTATGTGCAATCAACAGGGGCCAAATATATAGGGCAGCCTCTCTCTGTGTCTGGCATCTTTTATCTCCAGCATCTCACTGGAGAATTCCGGAACATACAGTCCACTCAACTTAAAGTTGCCATGGGTACTTAAGGCATGATTGGCAGGGATACAAGTGAGGGCCTTCTCCCAGGTGCTTCTCTACTACAATATGAATTCCTCTTCAAAAGACTCTGGACTGGCTCAATTCATGTTGCCTTTCTCCCAACAGACACATGGTTAATTTACAGCATGTTCCTTATTTCTTTCTTCTTCATATTTGCTTTATATTTCATTATAATTCCATATTTTAGAATTAATTGCTTTAAACCACAGGAATGGAAGGGTAGGACATACATAAAGTAATTTGTGATTTTAGCAGTATTTTTGCTCATGATATCTCCATGATGTAAGACTTGGAAGGAAGGATGAATCTTAAACAAAGACAAGCTACATAACAGAGCAAGGATTAGAATTCGATGTTTTCTCTTCTGTCCTGGGAAGCCTTGCAACATTATATTTACTTTCAAACTTTTTTCTTAAACAACTCCCCCCCCAATTAACTTGGGTTGCTACAGAATGCAAGCATTTTGCAGAAGATTTTTGGATAATTTCTAAACAATCCTCTACCGCAATTCTTCAGATTTGACAACTTTTAAGATCTGGGGAGTTCAATTTCCATTCCATGGTGGCTGGGGAATTCTGGGAGTTGAAGTCCACACATCTTAAAGTTATCAGGGTTGAGAAATCTAGCATCTGGGTAGGACTGTTGCTAAAACATCTTATCCTTGCTAGCTGCTGGTTTTCTAGTACTCAGTAGGATACACAGCTGCATCTGGTTTAAGCTCTTTGTAACTTGGTCTAAGGACTACCATGCAACTACTAGGCCTTTTCTCTTTCTGGACCCAGGAAACAATCATATTAGCATAAATTGTGCTATCGGGAATGCTGTTGTGTTGTGTTGTGCTGCTGTCTGTACAGTTGTAACACTGTTAGGAAAAGAGATTGGTGCCTGATAAAGAAACTCTTATTCTGAGAAAGAGTACATCAATAAGTAAACATTCTTTTGAAAATGCAACATATAAACCAGTTTGTTCAAAGTTCAACATATAAACCAACATATAGTTCAACTTTAGTCCAAGGATCTGGACTCACTTGTAGCTCAAATAACACAGAATAGTCAGCATAGAGACTAGATAGGAAGGGTTGATCCCTCAAAAGACATGTCCCAAAGGTGCTTTTTGAAGAAGCAAGTGGACTTTCTGGTTTTTCTTTGAAGACGTTTTGCTTCTCATCTAAGAAGCTTTTTCTTATCCAAGAAGCTGCTTCTTCACTTCTGAGAAGTGAAACGTCTTCAAAGGAAAACCAGAAAGTCCAGTTCCCTCTTGAAAAAGCACTTTTGGGGCAACCATGACTTGGATGACTGAGAATCCACATAGACAACAATGACTTGGATGACTGAGAATCTCCATAGATACTCAGAAGACATGCTGAGCCAACTAGAGATGAGCTGTTTGTCAATCTATACTACACTGCCCCAAGGCTCCTCCTAAATGTGCCCTAGATTGTTTACATGGAAAATTTTGGGATAAGAAGGAAGACACCCCTTGTATGCCAGAACACAACTGACTACAAACTGCCTGAGGAACAGGCTGGTGATAAAATTGATATTATATTGTGACCTTTTTTTTCTACAAAGAGATGATGGGGCATCTTCATCCTATGACAAATGGAATATGTGGATGAACACTCTGGAAAAGTGTAAACATTTTGAAAACTCTCAACACAATTTTAAATTAAGTCATTGTGAGATATTAAAATTGGGTGTCCCTGGAGCACTGCTGCTTCTTGCAGTCGTCGTCATTGCCATAGTAAAGCCTCACCAGGAAGAATTTTCTTGAGATTTGCTTCAAACTAGGAGTTTGCTCTGACTTAACACCAGTTGAATCTCTCGTTGTGTCAGCACATCTGGAGGGTGCCAGATTGGGAAGGTTAACGAGACACACTCAGACATCTAAATTAATACTAAGAATGTCTTTTAAAGAAATGCATCTCCCACTTTCATGAAATACTTTCTAAATTTTTTAGAGAGACAGTTTCAATGTCAAAATAACATTAG